GGAGGGACCGCGCGGCGCCCGCCTCGCCCCGCCCTGGCCGCTCCGAGATGCGCGGGGACGCTCCGCGCAGCAGCTCCGCGCGGCAGCCCCGAGCTCCGCGCAGCAGCTCCGCGCGGCAGCCCCGAGCTCCGCGCAGCAGCTCCGCGCGGCAGCCCCGAGCTCCGCGCAGCAGCTCCGCGCATCAGCTCCGAGCTCCGCGCAGCAGCTCCGCGCGGCAGCTCCGCGCAGCAGCTCCGAGCTCCGCGCAGCAGCTCCGCGCATCAGTCCCGAGCTCCGCACATCAGCTCCACGCAGCAGCTCCGCGCGGCAGCTCCGCGCATCAGCTCCGCGCATCAGCTCCGAGCTCCGCGCAGCAGCTCCGAGCTCCGCGCATCAGCTCCGAGCTCCGCGCGGCAGCTCCAAGCTCCGCGCAGCAGCTCCGCGCAGCAGCTCCGAGCTCCGCGAGGCAGCTTTGACCTCCACGCGGCAGCTCCCAGCTCCGCACATCAGCCCTGAGCTCCGCCCGGGCTGCAGCCTTGGCAGAACAGGTCACCCCACAGCTTCCTCCCTGTGTTGAGGCCCATGTCCCCATGCCCTGGCTTGTGCCCCCTTGCAGCCCTCCCTTGCGAGGAAGGCCCACTGGCAGCTTGCAGAAAGAAATGCCCTGTTTTGCCGGACTCCCTTGCTGCCAGGCATCCTTGGGCCCGAGCGCCCTCTCCTGCCTTCGTAGCTCCTAAATCCCCACGGGTAAAAACAGMAAAACCACAGTACCAGTCACTGCACAGGAGATACAAATTTCATTCTGATTTTTTTTTCTGCACTGCCAAGGTGAAGCTTTCCCGTTTGCAAGAGGAGAAGGCCATGTGCCAGCAAGCTTCAAGCCCTCCATGAAGGTGGAAGAACCCTGTTYTTCTCCAGTACGCAGCAGGGAAGACCTCTCCTCAATGAGCCACCACCATGTCCCAGCAGCCAAGGTCCAAGGGGGAGAATCCCTTGCCATCCCCACTCCTGCTCTTCCCCTTGCCTTGCTCATGAGTTGYATTAGAAATAAAGGCATGATGAGCTGGACAGATTGACCCAACCGAGGGGATGTGCTCAAGGAGACGGCCTTGCCACAAACCATCCCTCGCGATGGAGACGAGCAGGCGCATTGCAGTAGTGAGTGACCCTGCAGCTCGCACTCACTGCCCGTAAACAAGGCCCAAGGCCCCTGTTGAGGGCAAAGCAAGAAAGCAACAGTGCAATCTCCACCAAGAGCAGCGTGCCAAGCCCCTTCAGTGGCAAATGCGGGGAGAGGAAGCCCAGCTTTCCCTGAGCTCCCGCTGCCCGGCTTTTCCCCCTGTCAAGGTTACCCAGCCAAAGTTAAAGCCAACATTAGCATCTAAATGTGCCAGTGTCTGACAAAGGCAACGCGGGTCCCCAGCCCAAGGTTTTGCTCCTCCGGCGGCAAGAAGGCTCTTGCTGCCATAGTAACTGTTTTCAGACACGGCAATTATTTCTTCCCAGCTTCTCCCCCTCTCCCCTCCACCCCATCTCCCTTCCCCCAGCTTGTCTTGTGCTTCCAAGTATTTTCTCTTCCTCTTTCTTTTTTTTTTWTWWTTTTTTTTTTCTGTCTGKGGCAAATCGGTGGCTTTCGGGGCTGGAGTCTTTGCAGAAACGTGGTGATTCCCGGCACTGTGCAAGCGCTTCCCTCGCTCGGCTCTGCTCGGCTTCTTCCCAGTGTGACTTCTGCTGCCTCCCTTTTGTTTCTGGACCAAGAACAAGCGACACCAGCCCAAGCAAAGTTAAGGGCAAGGGCTGCAATTGGGACTACCCTGGTTTGCTTGTGCATTTTGTGCATTGCTGCTGCGGGGTTAATGAACGGCACAGGGTGACTAACGCTTCCATGTGGGCAGGGGCAACCCAGAGCAGGTGGCAGGGTGGGAAGCCGTAATCCTGCCAGCCACTCTCTGAAAGAAGACTGAGCGGGAAGGGGCAGGAGCCAGTCCTGGTCCCCGGGGCTGCACAAGCAGCTTTCCAGGCTCAGCAGCGTCCCTGTCATGGAGCAGGGATGTGGGGCTATGTGGTATCAGTGAGGGCCGAATGGTCTGCAAGCGCCCTGGGAGTTTCCTGGATATTCATGCTGAGGAAAAAACATCTTGTGGATTTACTGGGACTCCTTCCTCCTGGGAAGGGTGACATTTTATCCCACGGGGCTGCTGAAAATGACGGGGTGCAGCTAGAGTTCCCATTACCCACACCGCTCATCGGGAAGCCCCCTCTGCGCAAGAGCTGCCCGGAGCGGGGGAAATTCCCTCTCCTCAGCTTCCAGGGGGGAAGGAACTGGTCGGGCAGCCCCTGGACAAACATCCTGAGGCCAGAGAATGAAAGAAGGGAACTGAAAGCCTGCAGGTTTCGTTTAACCCTTCCCCCTGCCCGCCAAGGCCCCCGGGGTGATTTGGAGAATAAGGCTGAGCTCTCTTGTGAAAACTGCGGGGAAATGACCCATGTCCTGYCACCTCCTAATGCCCTTAAACAGCAGTGTCAGGTGTGTGTCACAGCCTCCTATCTCTTGAGCTTCCCCTGACACCCTCAGGTCCCTGCAGTGTCTTCTGCAGTGCTTTCTCTCTTAACAATAAACAAATAAATGAACAAAGTGAATTAGCCTTGCTGGTGGTGAGAAGCAAGTGGCTTTGAAATATTATGAGTTCTCCAGCACTCGTTCCCAGGGCAGTAAATCTTGGAGCCTGCCTATGTGCAAGGGAGGCAGAGTGAGTGAAAGCACGGTGCTAGCAACAGAGATTTTGTGCTCATGATCATCCAGTGCTTTCCAAGCGGAGATCAGCGTTTCAGACCACCTCTGGTTCCGACTTTATAGACAAGCCATAGCCCATACTGACTTGTGTGATGTGTTGGCCAAAGGCTGAGGAGCTGGGCAGAAATCCTATGGAAGTGGCGTTTTCTGATGCCTTGTGCAGGGGAAGCTCGGGGACAGGCAGGATGGGAGACACCCTTAGCCCAACGTGTTCCATGGCCAGACTCAGAGCTTCTGGTCCTGACCGCATGTCCATTTGATTGCACAGGCATTAACCATGCAGTTCAGGATTGCTTTTCCCATTATGCTGTTTTATTTCCCAAGAAGGATGACCACCCTTGGGGCATGGGCTTGGACYAAGGCCGTGGACAATTACCATAGGTGAAAGGCTTGCAAATCCAGAGCAGTTCCCTTGCATGGATTCCCTTTTGGGATGCTGCTGGTTCTGTGCTTGCCATGCAAACACTAACAGTTGACCCCTGTGTGACTCTTCATGCTGGCACCTTGCTCCCCTTTTAATACTTGTAGCAGTTAAGCCAAGAGCATCTCTGCTAAGTGCTGCAGAGCTGAAAGGGAACCTACAACCTGGGTGCCAGCCTAGSAGCCTTTAATTAACAAGTGATAAATACCCCGTGGCAGGAAAACATCCCCGTGCTTCTTGACAGCAGCATTCCTGGAAAAATCAGAGCATTAAGTCTTAGCCAGCTCACCAGGTGCTGCCACAGCATGAAGAGTCACTATGTCCAGCCCCCTGACAGAGCAACCTAAGGACAGATAACTGCCCTCAAAATCTGGCCAAGGGCTGCTGCCAGAGAGGCACGGATTTTGTGTTTTCTGCCAAAAGCAGGTGAACTTTTCCTCTGGGAGCTCATCCACAGCCCTGGGACAGGGGCAGAGCCCCAAACAGGATGGAGAGCCCTGGCAGAAGGGGGTTGCTCCCCTGGGCCCTGCTGCCAAGCTGAACTGCAAGGAATTGCCCATGGTTGGAGGGTGAAGCAAACTCTCCCCCTGTGCATGGCCACAAACACGTAGCGTTTGTCTCAGCAAGCCCAGGGCTGCTCTTTATCAAGCCAAAGCAAAAACTCGGCTTGCAAATGAAAACCAGCCCAGTTTAATCAGAGAGGAAGGGTTCTGCAAGGCTCTGCGCCTGGCAAAGGTGGTTTTCTGGGGCCACCTGGTGACAGTTTGGAAACAGACTTCCAACTTGTCTGGAATGGAATGAAGAGGCCCAAAGTACCCTCTAACACCACTTGGGATCAGATCATCCTCACACTGCTGTGGCCTGGCAAATGGTTGTCCCTAAGGGAAACACCCTCCCTTCCTCCTTCCATCTTCCTTCCATTTTCCTTCCTTGCTTCCTTCCTGGGCCTGGTGTTCAAAGGAACAAAATTCAGATGCATCTCCAAGGCAGGTCGTGTCATCAGGGAGCTTCATTCCTCCTGCCTCTCCTGCACACGGAGAAGGAAGAAACTGCAAAATAGTCTGGTTTTGTTTCTCTGACCTTCTCCCTCCTGGTGTGACCCTGGTTTCTTTTAGCACTTGAATTGGCAGCTTCTGTGGTCACGGTGRGATTTTGAGTCTAACCTGAGCTTATGCAGTTATCACTAGGATCATGCATTTCCATGCTCTATCCATTTAATGTGCAGTTTGGCTCCTTGGACACTTTTATTCAGGCTTTCTGGACATATAAACAAAAGCTGAGGAGCAGATTAAAAAAGAAAAAATAAAAAGCAAAACAATGAATTTGGAGGCCAGCTGCCCATGTAAGTGGTTTGCAGCAGAGAAAGATAGCAGTTTTTTCACCCAAAGAGCAAATCTGCCTGCAGGGCTCTTGGTGCAGAAGAGCACCAGTCACTGCTGATAAATCAGGATTCTGCAAGGACTTGGATAGTGAA